TTATAATAGTAATAAGCTTTTTAATAAAATAGTTCTTATTAACCTATTAGTTACTAGTGTCTTATAAAGTCTATTATTTTATATAATAAACGCAGCTGCTTATTAACCTATTAATTACTATAGTCTTTAAATTACTAGTAACTAGTAATATTAATATCTTTTTATTAACTAATTAGTTACTAGAAAAATCAGATAGTACTATCTGTTTCTCTTCTTATTAACCTATTAGTTATTAGAGATCTGCAGGCTATTATTACTATTCTATAGTATCTTCTATAAGAATAACTACTAATTAGTATTAGTATTATAAGTAGTAATATATTAGAATGTGATTACTTCTCTACTATATAATATAGACTTAATACTAGTTAATTAATACTTAGCATTTAGGTGATATTATAAAGATAAAGAGGTTATACCTCTTTACTAACTAAGCTAAGTTATATGAGCTAGATTATATAACTAGAAAGGTTAAAGAGGATCCTAGAGCAGATCCTAGAGCAGATTGTATATCTTAACACTTAGACTTATATAAGATGTTAATAGAATAAATAAATAAATAAATAATAAATATAAGATATAAACTAGTAGATAAGATTATAAACAGAATGTGATTTAAATAATAAACTAATCTCTGCCTTTTCTAAAGCTAGAGAAAGTCTTATTTATATTTAAGTAATTATACTAATTTAAATAAAAGTTTATATATTAAGCTAAGAGGTTTTAGTTTTAAGTTAAGCTTAAAGCTAAAGTCTAACAAATATAGTTTAGATTAAAGTCTAATCTTATATAAGCTTTAGTTATAAAAGTAGGCTTTTATATTACTCTTATATTATTATACTTTTATATTACTTTTCTTTTATTTATTTTAAGACTTTATATATTTTTTTATTCTATTAATATTCTATATAAGCCTAAGACTATATAGAACAGCGCTAGCCTAATGCTAGTGCAGGCTAGTAATATCTGTAATATTAACATCTTATATCAAATTCAGGCTTTTGCTCTACATACTCTGCATTCGCTCCGTGACACTAGAGTCGCCTTCTTAAAGTTTTCGATAATATATAATAGCTTCCATCATCGACCCACCGACTCTAGTCGACGGCGTCAAATCGAGGCCGAGCACAACGCTCTTATATCAAGGCCTATAACCTTTTCCAATAAAGAGTTTAAGTAACTCGATATGGGAACTCTATATCGGAACACATTATACCTTTATCTATATAAACCAGGAACCTAGAAGATGAGGAACTCGCGCCTTAGAAACAAGTCGTTCTTCGCAGATTGAGCTGCACCCGAACCTGCCTGAATTCTCCAACAAAGGGAAGAATAGACGAAGGCCGATCTGTGGAGTAGGAAGGAGAAAGAAAAGATAATGATGTGGAGCGCCGAAAATGGACGAATTATTTTCGAAGATGTCTTTTTACGCTCATAACAAAGCTGCGAGGGCGTAGTCCGCCTTGCTATAATTTTGCACTCATCTACTAAGTGCTCTTGTTATTTGGTCAATCCGATACGTTACTTGGCTTTGAAACGTTTGTAATCTTACGAACAGTAGAAACACCAAGATGGGACTCGATCTAGATCTATAACCTACTCTATAAGTAAGGACGGTACCCCAAGGGAGGAATCGTCACCGTCATCCAAATCCTACTCCTTCTTTTGCCGACAGAGCATCACTACGACTTGCGGCTCGTCTCCCTCTGGGAGAGAATATACGTGGCTAAAGCTCGAAGATTCTCTGCACGTGTTATGGCAGGCAGTGGAGTTTCGACGCCAGTTTCCCTCCGAATCCAATTGCGCAGCTCTACAGACACTAAAGAATCTAGGCCGTAGGCTGCAAGCGGCGCATCCGGTTCCACCTCATCCCTTTCTATCATCGTGATAGAAGAAACTTTATCCATAAGGGCATCCAACAAAGCAAGGAGAGGATCACCGCTATTAGCAAGTCGTAATCCGTTCAAGGCCGTATCATCGTCTTCATCGAGACTAATCTCGGAATTACGCTTCTTGGCATTAACACGCTCTGCGAGGGCAAGTGGGTGGTAATATTGCCAGCCTAGTGTGTTTGGGTCTTCCCCTGATGAGAAACGGAATGCAATGGCGCTGCCGTCCTCATTCAGGTTGGAAGAAGGGCCAATAATCGCACCCTTGACAGCAGTATGGAGATCAGCTTCTGTCAATGTCGCACCCAACGAAAGCTTCAAAGCTTCAGTCAAGCCTTTTTCGGCAGCATAGCCGATATCTAGCACAACCGGCAAGGCCATTGCAACAGTTGGTTTACCGCAGGCGATTCTATAACGCGCGAAAGCATCGAAATAGGTCTAGCGTAAGAGTGAGCTTCATGAAAACTTGGGGGGTCATTCATACTGACCGCTGTGCCTGCGTAGATCCCTTGCCCCAAGTTCCCGGCAGCTCCAACAAACGAAGAGAGTGCAATGAAGAAGTCGACATCCTCTAACAACTCATGGAGATTCCAGGCACCCTGAACTCTAGGTCTTGTGATATTTTGCCAGTCGTCGTATGTTGCATTTACTAAGAGTGAGTCCTGGCATGGATGATTAGCTTGGACGGAGGGATTAGTATATGAACAATAAACTTACCCGGAGGTAAAGCGCGCCATGGACTATACCATGAACAGGTGGGAGGTCTTTGATTGACTGTAAAGCGTTGACAAGCTCCGTTCGGGAGCCGACATCACAAGCAACAGCTCTCATTTGGACGTCAGTGCCCTCATATTTCTCTAACAGCTTCTTGACCTCGGGACGTGATGAGCCACTGCGACCGAGCAACACAACATTTAGGGCTCCATTTTTGACCATCCATGATGCTAGGGAAATGCCGATACCGCCCGTACCACCAGTGATCAGGTATGTTGCATCAGGACGCAGCAGCTGACCATACGGTACACTTAGCGTTGGGGGGCAATCAGCCAGCACAGAGTCTTCCGGACCCATCGTGACGACAATCTTGCCTATATTTTGGCCAGATTGAAGCTTGCGTAGACCTATAGCTAGTTGAGATATGGATACTGCGGTTACTGGGCGAATAGGCACAATAATCTTTCGTTGAACCAGATTAATAAGTTCGGCCAGACACTCTTTCTCCTCCTCTGGTCGCCGATCAAAGAGTGTGCGGAGATCGACGCCACTGAAAGTCACGTTACGATCAAAGGGTCTCATACCCAAGTAGCTGTTCTGAAGCAAGTCTCTCTTGCCTATTTCAACAAATCGACCGAAGTCTCCGATCAAGTCCCAAGTCTCTTGCAGCAGGTTCCCGCTTAGAGAATTGACGATCACGTCGACCCCTTGGCTGTCGGTTGCGTTGAGAATTCCTTCTCTAAATGTCGGGGTGCGGCTGGAAAATATTTGCTCCTCAGGGAGACTATAGGTCTCGCGGAGGAACTCCCTTTTTGCAGGAGTACCAGCTGTAGCGAAGATACGAGCTCCAATGTACTGTGCTAGCACAATGCACGCCTGGCCAACTGCACCAGAAGCAGCATGAATGAGTACGCTCTCGCCTTTCCTAAGCCGTCCAATGCGTATGATTGCAAAGATGGCGGTGGAGTATGCGACTGGAATGCTTGCGGCATCCGTGCTGCTCATGTCATTTGGAATTCTCAACACTCGATATGAGGCCAGCCGGACGAAGGTCCCCAAGGATCCTCCTGCAAGTGACCCATAGAAGACGCGATCTCCGGGTTTCAAATCTCCCACGCCGGAACCCGTCTGGGTAACTACGCCAGCCCCCTCAAAACCGGGTCTCGTCCATGGGATTGAACCAAGAACAAGAAGAAGATCGCGAAAGTTCACTCCTGCAGCCACAACTCGGATCAAGACCTCATCATCACTCAAAGGCTTTGTCTTCACATCGTTCTCGCGAAAATATATAGAGTCAGGACTACCTGCAACGTCAACTGTCATCTCGAGTGACCTTTCGTTTTGCCAGACGTTTTGCATCTTTCGGACTGCAATTCCTGCCTCTGACGCAAATACATCTGTCGCTCCCTCGAGTTGTCGAAAGCGAGGTAGATGGATTATGCCATTATGCCAAACAAAATCCTGGTCGGTTATGCCTGCTGAATTTGCAAGTTCCAGATCTTCTAATCGTCCAGCGACCTGAGCTATGGCTAGAGCGCCTTCCGACGTGCAAGGCGTCTTTTCCAAAACGAGTAGATTCTTTGATTCGGTTTCGTGGCGCACGGAGCGTAGCAGGCCTTTGATTGATTCGGCTTCGGGAGGACAACCTTCTGGAACAACCCACAATAATCCTTCTGTCTCTAAAAGAGTATTCTTTATGATTTCGAAGTTCTCCGCCGAGAGGTCACCTAATACACTATAGCGCGGGGAATCGATGAAGATGCACAATCGCTTATCCTCGGCATCCATTTCAGCGAAAGGTTTAACTTCTGAGGGGCAATTAAGGTGCTGAGTGACATGGTCAGAGACCATCTGTGCAAACTCTTCTTCGTCGTCGTCCATAAAGAGACCGCAAATGGTTATTGATCTTGCGTTATGAGAATCTTCCCGCGTGCCTATCCTTGTGGAGCATATTATACTGATTACATGCTCAGAAGTCCCTGGATAGTCAGCAATGGCGGCATCTACTCCTGAAAACCCCACTGCAGTGAGGACAGTCTGCCACTTCTCCTCCGATAGAAGTGGTCCTTCCTCATGGTCTCGGTACTCGTCCTCGGAAAGCCACCAGCCTGGAAGCAAGGAATAAGGCAAAGAAAGAGATGGGTGGATGATAGCCTCCATCAAGAGCAGCTTGCCATTAGGTTTCAGAAGGCTTCGAACATGATCAAGCGTGGTTGCAATATTTGGAGTTGCATGCAAGACGTTCGAAGCAATAACCACGTCATACTGCTCGATGGCGAAGCCTTGCTGCACTGGATCTTGACTAATGTCAAGTTTCTTGTATATGATACTTTTCGCCCACTTAGCCAGCTTTGTTCGAGCATTTTCAAAGAAGCCGGTCGATATATCTGTGAAGGTATAGGTGAGAAACGCAGGCAAATCTTGCCCCCCACGGGATAATTCATCCAGGACAGGCAGTGTGGCGCTAGCTGTACCGCCACCAATTTCCAGCACGCGCAAGTCGGGCTTGATATCCGACAGCTGACGGACAAATCTACCCAAGGCTCGGCTAGAATGTGTAGTAGCCGCCTCTTGCTCATAGTTTCGCATGAGAAGATTATCCTTGAGCATGATCTCCAGTGGTTGCACTTCACCGCGCAAGATTTGGACGAGTTGTTCACCTACAGCACAGAGCATTTCACCTTGGGCGTCGGAGGTGAGTACTTCGGTCAGCAAAGACGTTGGCTCACTGTCGAAAGCCAAATTTTCGCGGGCAACAACTTTCTTGGACCAGTTCAAATAGCGAAGAAGGTGAGATGGTAGGTGAGAAAGGTCTTCTCCAGCCGTTTCTTTCAATGCCCGATTCATGTAATAGACACCGGCTCTGTTCACTTTACGCCGGTGCTGGCGTGCAATTTCGAGTGTATCGGATTTAACCGTCACCATCTTAGCTGCATATTCGTTATCGACGAAATCCAAACTAGGTATCAAGTCCCAGCAGTAGCCTGCTGGCAGGCTGGAGACTGAATCCCCGGTGTCCGACGATGAGATAGATCGATATGTCACCGACTCCCATTCGGCGAGTGGCCTCAGTGAGCCGTGGCTATGCAAAAACACAGCGATGCTGCTACGCAGCCTACCGGCTCTGGTATCGTTACCAAGCAAGCGAGTAACAATGGTGAAGCGCTGCTTTTGGACGGCTTCAATCTTGTTCGAGATTCTAAGCCTACTGACATAATTAGGCATATGCGCCGCGTTCTTTTGCCAAGGGGCTATACCCTAGATGTCAGAATTTTGGAGTCAGTATTAGCTGCTAGAGTATATTCCGAGAGACCGAAAACTGTTCAAAGGAAGTAGATTTAATAATCGGGGGCGGTTGACCATTGAAACTCATGTAAAGAGTAATTTGCTTCGAAGATATTCGAAATATGAAACATTTCTCAAAGATAACTTACCTGAAGATGAGAGTCTAAGGTCGGTGGATCAATAGAGATGGGCGACCCAAAGGGCCCAGGTGGCGACAGATCAAGATCGCGCAGCTCAGTTTCCAGAACTGTCCAGCTGGGCCCTTCCCAGTATTTGCGCATGGCTTGAAAAGAAGGGCCGTAGAGCGTCCCTCCCTGTCCTAGGTTACTGTATATAAGTTTTGCATCACGCTCTTTGAGGTTCTCGCCACCAATGAGCGGTGCTGATACTTTGAAAGTTGGACTTTCCATGGCCATTTCGCTCGCCTCTGCCTCTACTTGGCCATGGCAGTGTGCCGTCCATCCATTCGTTTCTGTCCAAGAATTGATCTCAAACACCCAAGCTGTGGTGGAAAAGCTTTCCGTTCCAGTTGTAATTGGCCTGAGCTTTGTTGTGATATCGATATGTTTACCTTCTTCGATATCTAAGCTGCGTTTGACGTGGTATTCGCGTACAAGTATGCTTTCTGGGATCTTGGGACTCACTCTCCTCAGTGCCTCAATAGCCATCGACAGATAGCCTGTCATTGGAAATATGACATGCCCACCTACATTGTGATCTCGAATCCATGGAATATCATCAAGAGTGAATACCTGTCTGAAAGTGGGCTCACTGCTGTTGCTGTACAGAGACTTGCTTCCAAGAAGCTGCGAAAAAGATTGACCAGGATGCAACTTCTCCCGCATGATGCGTGACTTATGCACGTATCTCACTGACTTATCCCACGCATAGGGAGGAAGATCAGTGAGAACATGGGCGTTGTGGTGGTCAAGTTGGTTGACCATCGCCAGTTTAATTGAAGACCCCATAGAGAACAGACTCCCTGCCAGGCCAAGAAGAGTTTCATCGCCGCTCTTTCCACGTACTAAAGAGGCAAGGTAGGTAAATTGTGACAGACGTTGGTCATTCCGCTGGCGGAGTACTTCTACTATCTGTTTGATAGGATTTTGAAGAGCAGAATGTGGGCCGACCTCCACGATTACATTTGGCAACGCAGCACTACGTTGCCCAGCGTCGATTTTGTTGTCGCCCGTCGAGAAAATACTCTCAATCGCATCCGCAAACCTGACTGGTTGAAGAAGATTCTTAACCCAGTAAGATGCATCAATGTTGTCCGCGCCTTCTATGCGACCAGTGACAGAAGATACGAAAACAGTATGGGACTCATCGTGATCGAAGGATGGGGATTCCAGATCGCAGAAAGGTTTGATGGATTCCAAGTAAGAAACCGCCACCAGCTGCATATGATTGGAATGATATCCTACTTCAACTTTCAGCTTGCGAGCAAACAAGCTTTGAGCCTCCGCGATCTGCCGTATATTATTGATAGCAGACTCGTCTCCAGATATGGTAACACTCTGTGGGCTATTGATAGCGGCAATGGTCGCGTATCCGTTGGGATTCTGCTGGAGTAGTTTTGATGCTGCTTCAGAGCTCGTGCCAAGTGCCAACATGGCTCCCTTTTGGCCATGTTCCCGAGACAACTGAGCAGCTGCTTTACCACGGAAGTACGCGATGGCTATTGCTGCTCGGAATGAGATTATCCCAGCAGCATATGCAGCCGCTATCTCGCCGCTAGAGTGCCCTGTGACTCTAGTCGGTGCAACTCCCCAAGTCTTTAGTAACATCACAAGCGCGAGTTGGACGGCAGTACACGCTGGCTGACTGATTTCGGCATCATCAATGCGTGATTCAGGTCCTGGCTTGTCAAGCTCCTCTGCCACGCATTAGCCCCATACACTTGTATTCGCCTCATATTACGTACCGTTTAGGGACCAAGATGCTCCCATTTCGTGGAGATATATTTCGGCCTGGTTTATGGCAGCGGCAAATATTTTGTGGTGCTTTAGTCCGGCAGTCATCTGAGGGTGTCTTTTGCGGGTTAGCTAAGTTTGGACCTCTCATTTCGTATGAATTATATGACGTTCCACTTCCAGTGACAAACTCGAGAGTTTTGAAAAGCAATCACTGTTCTAGATATTGAAAGAGGAGAAGAGGGGTCTTACTGGGCGCCTTGGCCGGTGAAGACGTGGGCGATGATCCGATCTTTTACTTTGCTGATTTTGCTTGTCAATAATTGGGCTTTCAGGCTAGTCGCCGAATTTGCTGTCGCTGTAAGTCGATATAGGTATTGTGTGCGTCGTTGTCCGAGGGTGAAACTGAGATGCTCCATGAAGTCGCTGGATTCAGATGCGTTATTCAGGTACTCAATGAAGGAAGACAAATAAGAAGCAAGTGTGCTTTCAGACTTGGCAGATAGGACGAACCTAAATTACATAAAGTCAGTGTTTCGTATTCAAATTGTAACGGTTGAGGGGGTTTTCATGAGAATTTTTGAAATGAGACACTGGAGCTCCGATTCTGATCTTGGAAATCGAAAAGTTACTCACAGCCGATGCTCACGACTAGAAACATCATGGGGTGCTGCCCCATTGCCATTTGTGACTGCAGTACCATTAGTGATACCGTTTTTAGTGCCGCTGTCCATCAGTGCGATGCCTTTCGCAGTACCATTCTCTATTTTAGCGCCGTTTGTTTGTTTGGCTGGTGCTTTTTCGAGTATGACTGCCGCATTGCTGCCGCCGAATCCTATATTTTATTATTTTAGCTGTTTTCTTTTCTGTATGGTGAGCAATTTAATATCTTATATTACCGAAATTTGTTACAATTACTCGCTTTGGCGCATTCTGTGGCCAAGGCATTATCGTTTGGGCCACCTGTATTATTGGTCAATAAATTGCTTCTGTCTTCTCGCGCAGAATAAAACCATTCTATTGCATCCCTAAAAGGAAGTGAAAAAAAACCTGTGATAGCCTATTCTAAAACATCCGATGTTCGAACTGGAGGAAAACAAGCTGTCGTATAGTAAGAAGATGAGCACATACCTTTAGTTTGTCCCTCCCTTCGATGTTGTGGTTGAACTCCTCGAATTCGGAATTAGGCAAGATGCATCCACGCTGAATCATCATGATCGCTTTGATAACGCCGAGAATCCCGCTTGCGCCTTCTAGATGGCTGTACAAGTGCCCATGAGTCAGCAAAACAAAAAGAAATCGATCGATTGTCGGAAAACTACTCTTACCCAAAGTTTGACTTCAGAGATCCGATGTACAACGGATCGGATGGCGTTCGCTCGTTCCCCAATACGGTCGCGAAAGCACCAGCTTCGATTGGATCACTACTTTATCAATAATGAGCGTCAGAGAATTTTATTAACAGACTTACCCGGCCTGAGTGCCGGTTCCATGGCCCTTGAAAAAGTTAGCAACTTTTCCCAATTGAACTGTAAAAGGGGTTCCGTTTAAGCGAGATTTTCTCGCTAATCCTTTTTAAAGGGTAAGTTGGGAATCTTTAACGAGAAAGCCCGGTTAACTAGTCCGAGAAGATTTGCCCCTGTATTTGCAGGAGAGTGGGGATATGAGTAATATAACGGCAAGATTACTTCCTACAGTATAAATCGTTGAAAGTAATAGGACTATGGACATACCTCAACAACAGGCGTCTCGGATGGATTTAGGCCAACCTCTTCGTGCACGCGTAAGAGCAACGCTTCTTGGACTACTCTGCTTGGCATAGTGATACCTTCTGATCTACCGGAATGGCTGGCGGCAGAATTGCGAACGATAGCTTGAATTGGATGGCCGGATTTGAGTGCATCCTCCAGGCGCATAGCCAGTAGACATGCACCACCTTCGCCGCGACCGAATCCCGAAGCCTTTGTATCGTAAGAGAAACATTTACCCTCTGGTGATAGTGCTCTATTTTCTACTGGTTAGAAAATTCATTGTCAAGAAATAGACTCCAAGTGATGGCGTGATAGTCATACCCCAATTTGTCGAGAACATTCCACTGAGTTGCGCCCATGATTAGTGATGATGCACCTATGAATGCGGCGTTGCATTCGCCGGTTCGAAGGCTTTGGCAAGCCATGTGAATTGCATAAGTACTGCTTGCGCATGCAGCATCGAGTGAGATGGAGGGGCCGTGGATATCGAAGAAATACGATAGCCGGTTGGCGAACATACAAGGTGCTCCTCCGAGAGCTGTCCATGTTGTTGTAGAGAAGAGGTCTTCTGATGACTGCTGCGTGTATTCCGTCGATCCAATTGCTGCAAATACTCCTATGTTGGCGCCTGCAAGATCAGCCAGACTGAGACCAGCGCTCTCAGCTGCCTCGAACGCGCATTCGAGCATCATGCGATGCTGCGGGTCAACCGCGCGAGCTTCATCGGCTCTCAAATTGAAGAACTGGGCGTCGAAGCTGTAGATATCGTCAGGCAAGAAATGGGCGCCCTGTGATGAGAAGCAGCCAGCCCTTTCAGAGTCTGGGTTATAAAACGCATCTTGGTCAAATCGATCAGCTGGAACTTTCGACCAGGCAGACTTTGCTTCAGCTAAGAATTCCCATAAGCCTTTTTGTCCGACACCTGGAGCACGATACGAAAGGCCAACAATGGCAATAGGTGAGAAGTTATTCATATTGTCTCCTATTCTGTTTGCTGTCATGTATTTGCTGAGTTGTCTCAGGAGCAAAAGAATGAAAATCCACAAAATATGGAACTACGAGCAGTATTGATAATATAAGCCGAAAAGAAATCCGCATTATGCTACACTGATGTCAGTGGTTATCGGTGTACGAGTATGCTTCGTAGATAGAAATACTTTCAGACACATGCATTGGAATCCTTACTCTATGCAAGGTCACCATGTGCCTCAATATCCTCCCCTCCTAAGGGTTAAATCACGTAAAGTCTCCATTGAACATAGGATCATTTCTAAATGAAAATCTAGATGTCCTTGCAGGTCCTGTAAAACAGGTCTAATATTAATGTCTGAAGTGCTTGTTAGTCTATATGTTACCCTAAGTATGTTGATACTATTTGTCAACTCCTAATATATTTACGGTAGCGTAAAAGATTATCAAAATTTATAAAGGGGGGGGTAGTTTGTACTTAGTACCCAGGTACCCCGCTATCGAGATCCGTACCCCGTACTAGTCACAGACGAAGGAGTGCTTCTAGCACGAATTCCAGGGCATCTTTACGGAGGTGTAACCTATTTAGGTTGACATTGGAAAAGTAAATTTGCCTTCATAGGCATGGCTTTGCCGTTCATGCGGTCAGTCAAATCAAGTCTTATTATACCGCCTGGTGATAATCGTTCGAGGTAACACCTGTATTCAAGCAAGATATAGTACGTATTATTTAATAACTCCTTAGTTTCGAATCGTATGCTTATTTTGTATTAAACTGCTAAGGAAATTTATGTACTTGGATGGGATATTTTCAGCTGCTATAATATAAGTACGCCTTGTTAAAGCCGACACTAGAATTTAGATATCAATATCCTGTCCTGTATCTTAATACAAAAATAAGAAATACGGAGTATCTGTGCAAAGTCTATTTCCTAACTAGGGGATAACATACTTGCAGCTCATCTGCAAGATATCTGCTAGGCATACAAATATGTGATAATGGGTTTTTAGAGCCTAAACCGAGGCTCACTAAGCGTTGAAACCCCCGCTACCTGATGGATTTGCGCGCGTAGGCTCCTTGCATACTCCGGAGTATGGAGTACCCCACTACCCCGCGTCGCATAGGATCGTAAGATGTTCCCCTATCAAGTTAGATATGCGGAATACCCGTCGTAGAAGGAAAACTGTTCTTTCATTCTTTCACGAGCCTAGTGTTAGCGCCGAGTCGTGCAGCGGTACCTGTATAAGCTAGTGAGTAAAAGACCCCCTTCCCCTTTCTGCAGATCGCATCCCTTCTCGACCTTGAAATAGGCAGACACTGAATTGAGGTCTTCTTTATCAGCAACGGTCAGATAATAACGAGATATCTGCAGATCTTCCGAGGTGTGCATGTCTCAAATCACTCAAGAATGGGGGTGTACTCCGGAGTATATCCCGGTGGAAGGTCGATAGGAGTTCCTGGTTGGAATATTCTATACGAAGTATACGAAGTATACGGTGAATTTGTCATTATGAATGGAACGGACCCACACCACCCTTACGCTTGAGAATAGTGGCAACAAAGCCTGGAACGCGGGGTTGGAGGATTCAGGACCATTCCATGGCGGAAGGACACGCAGAAGTCACTTGGCTGATATGCATTGGAAATTTCTGACTTTTCGATAGGCTCACAACTGCGAGTATACCGTTTTAGCAAGTTCCATCATTAGTGTTGCAGTCTGTACTAGAAATCATTCATTGCTATCTCCTGTTGGAGCTTGTGTTCAATATATTGAAGATATTATCTTCAACACGTGCTAGAGCAAAGTCATTCGTACTTTTGACGCCTGATCCAAATAATGGTCAAGATTGTGCCACAGACGGTATTGTCTCGAGATGGGGTGGAGGAATCAACGTTGGCAGAGATCGCAGAGGCATGCCATATATCAGCGGATCAAATCGACGACATATACGCGTGTACGCCACTACAAATCAGTGCCATGGCAGAGTCCACAATACGCACCGGCGCCAGTGTATTTCAATATGTCTTCTCTTTCGCTCCCTCAGTTGATGTCGAACGAGTTTGCATTGCTCTGCAGACAGTGGTTTCGCTGAACGCGATCCTGCGTACTCGACTTGTCGACTCTCGCCTTGGAATTGTGCAGATTGTTACGAAAGGAGCTCATTACACTCATCGACTGCCTGACAATGTTCAGATTGAGCAGTATAAGGGCGATGAAAAAAATAAGGCCCTGGTTTTAGGCAAACCGCTATTCCATTCTGCTATCATCGACCGGATGTGGGTGTTGACTATGCATCACGCGATCATGGATCACTCTTCCTTGACTTTTCTATTCAGAGATCTCCTCGGTATATATCATGGTCACGCGCCAGAGACGCGCACTCCTTTCAAGAAATTTGCAGAATACTGCCTCAATATTAACGAAACTGCGGCAAAGCATTTCTGGTCATCGCGCTTCAAAGGAGCTCCAGCCATCTTCCCAAAAGTTGAACCGGGTTATGCTCCTAATGCAACGCAAAAAATGACTTTGAAAATAACATCTACTCGTATTGGTGCTGGAGTCTCTCATGCTCATGTACCATCGTTTATCGAGGCGGCTTGGGCTTTGACTGCTGGAGCTTACACAAATAGTGAGAGCGTTGCATTTGGCCAAGTTCTGTCCGGCCGCACACTCGATTTGGCGGGCCTCGAGACTACCCTAGGGCCCATGATTGCTATAGTCCCAGTACAGATCAATTTGCTGCGAAATATGACCGTGGAGGGAATTCTTAAGGATAGGATTACAGCGCTACGACAGCTCCAAACACACTCGGCTCTACAATACGGCGTCACGAGAATTCGGGCTGTTAGTGATGAAGCACGTATTGCATCAAGCTTCCAGACTTTACTGAACATTCGTCCCTCATTGGATGACCCTGATGAATCAGAAGACTTGAAGTATGAAGGTATGGACGAACCGAATGGAGCCTTTGGCCTCTGCCTGTATTGTAATCTCCAGGAAGATGGAATTTTTGTTGAAGCAATTTCCGATCCGACTATCCTTTGTAAACGCCAGCTTCTCAGGGTAGTGCATCAGTTTGAACATACTTTCCAGTTGCTCTTAGACGCTGATCCTCAGACCAAGCTAGTGCAGCTGCCGCTATTGAACCCCCATGATCGTTCGGAGATCCTCAAATGGAACAAGAAATTACCCGAGACGGTGGAGAGGTGCATTCATGAGCTATTTAGTATTCGAGCTCGGGAGCAACCCGAAGCTGTAGCAATAGAAGCTTGGGATGGGGATCTCAGCTATCTCGAGTTGGACGAGATGTCTGATCGTCTCGCTCACGAGCTGCGACGAAAGGGTGTTTCTCCTCAAGATACAGTGGCTTTTATCTTTGAAAAGTCACACTGGACAATCGTCGCTATATTTGCTATTATGAAGGCAGGGGGTGCATGTGTCCCCATCGATCCAGCAAATCCATATGCTCGTAAAGCAGCCATTATTTCTAGCGCACACATAAAGATTATCTTGGTCTCATCCGCACAGCTTGCGAGCTCTGCGGACCTCGCGCCCGACATCTTCGTGGTCAACACAGCATCCATTTCTGGGCTTGCAGATGTCACTGGTTCTCTTGATGAAACATGCTCTCCAGGGGATCTTGCCTACATCATGTTTACCAGCGGTAGCACGGGATCCCCTAAAGGTGTCATGCTAGAGCATCGTTGTTTAGTGTCGTCACTCAGCTCTCTTGCCCAAAAATGCATGTGGCAGCCAGGCAGCCGGATGCTCCAATTTGCTGCTCATGTGTGGGATATTAGCATGGGTGAGATATTCGGGGCGCTTCTCTTCGGCGGTTGCCTTTGCATACCTTCGGATGAAGCGCGAGAATCGAGCCTTGCCAAGTTCATCACATTCAGCAGAGTTAACTGGGCGTGGTTTACCCCTACAGTTCTCCGCACCTTGTCTCCTGAAGAGCTACCCAGCTTGCAATCGATGATCTCTGCCGGTGAACCAATTGGCGCCGACTCGCGAGACGTGGGGCAGAGCGCTCCGCCTCTTTAATGGTGTAACGACCCCTTTCTTTGCTTGCTTTGCCTTCGATTTTGCTGAATTGATATCCCTGAAGATTATTCCCTCTTGGATAACGTTTTCTTATCAAAAGATTGTACTAATTCATTGCAGTGGGGCCCATGCGAAGCCTCCGTTCTCAGCTCGGTCGCGGAACTGACACCTGAATCTCGCGACCCTGAGAGCATCGGTAAGCCTGTCAGCTGCGCTATGTGGATTGTAAAGTATTCAGGGAATACAAATGAACTTGTCCCAATTGGTGCTATTGGGGAAATCTTAGTTGAGGGCCCAGGAGTCGCTCGGGGATATCTAGATGACTCTGTCAGGACCGCAGCTTCGTTCATTTCACCACCTGCTTGGGCTCCTTCTCGAACAAAAGCCAAGCATTTCTACCGTACTGGAGATCTAGCTAAGTATCATTCTGATGGAAGTATCGTTTTCGTCGGCAGACAAGACAGCCAAGTCAAGATTCGAGGCCAAAGGTTTGAGCTTGGGGAACTCGAGAATGTTATCGATAGCTGTGGTGAAGTGCAAGATGTTTTTACTGCAACCAGAATATTGAAAGGCCGGACTGAACTAGTCGCTGTGGTGGTTTTGGCGGATCCCCTGCTGTCGAGTAGGGTTGTGCTTAAGGACATCTCCTATGAGTTCGCAGAAATCACTTCTCGGTATCTGCGTGCTATAGGAAACCATGTGCGAGCTAGACTGCCTTCGTACATGGTCCCCACCATTTGGCTTACTGTAGAACAAATGCCTCGAGCAGCATCAGGAAAGTTAGACCGAGTGGCTATTAGTTCATGGTTAAAAGCGAAGGATTTATCGTCTGTAGGTTCCGCGGTGGACTCGCAGATGGCCGCAACTTTGACGCCTCCATCAACGGCGGAGGAAAGGTTACTGGAGTCAGTGTGGTCATCAGTGTTGGATCTTCCCAAAGGACATATTGGGCGGGAAAGCTCCTTTATGCAGTTGGGGGGGGATTCAATCTTGGCCATGCAGGTAGCAAGTCGATGCCGTAAGCATGGCATTCAGACAACAACTTCAGAACTTTTAAAAGGTAAATCTCTCGCAGCTGTCGCCGAATTATCGCTCCTCAAAGAGCCTGCTAGTGATGGGATTATCATGTCTTATAACGCAGTACCGGAGGATAACCACCAGGTCGAACCAACAGCTCCGATTCCGAGCGTTTTCGACTGGCTTCTTTCAAAATTGGGCCATTCAAACTCGTTTCTCCGGAGGGGAAATATTGAGAGAATCATCACAGCGACAGATGCTCAAGCCTATATGCTCGCGGCGGGTGAGCTTGGAGAGAAGGGATTTCATATCCAGTTCAAGCTCGAGCTTAGACCTAGCCTTGACTCTGCACGGCTACGGAGGGCCTGCGAACAAGTGATTCGGCATCACTCAATTTTGCGGACAGTATTTTTGCAGCATGGGCCGGCTCTTCATCAAGCGATACTAAAAGGCTTGCCCTCGGAAACGGTAGTCGAATTAGAAGAGGAGGACAACATGTCACCGAAAGTCACGTTCCGGGAAGGAAATAACTTGCCACGCTTTCGCTTATTCTCTGATGGCCAACTTTGCCACCGCTTATGCCTTGATATCCATCATTCTCTCTACGATGCTCTCTCTTTAGAATTGGTGTTCCGAGACCTCGACGCAGCTTATACAGAGAAACAACTTTCCGGAGGGCTGTATTTCCATTCCTGGATCTCGCACGTCGAATCCCTTGACAAGTCTACACCGCGAGAATATTGGAGAACGGTGTTACGAGACTCTTCGATGTCATATTTAGTGCAACCCTCTGCTCGCACAATACAGATCCATTCATTCGACCAGCAGCTCAAGATTCGTGTTCCTCTCCAGAATTTACAAACAGAATTAGGAACGCCTTCAAGTGTGATGAAAGCAGCCTGGGCCCTCCTCCTTTCCCATGCTCTTGGAACAAGGGATATCACATTCGGCGAAGTCAGCACAAATCGCTACTTACCGGTCCTAGGACTGAGCGAAGTGAGAGGTCCCTGTCTAAACTTTCTACCAGTCAGAGCGTGTCTCGATCATAGTTTGACTTTTGCTTCGTTGATCACACAATTACAGAACCAGTCAGCCGCTGGACTGCCTCACCACCATCTTGGATTCCGATCTATCATTAAAGACTGCACTGAATGGCCTAGCTGGTCTCGATTCAGTTCTGTACTAGTGTATCAGAACCATGGTTCATTGAAGCCTTCTCTCAGGATCGGGGATGCGGACTGTGCACTTTCGCATTCCGGCGAAATTGGCGACACCGCTGACATCTCAGTGATCGCTACACCAGGCTCGAAGGACCTGGAAATCGACCTTCACTATTCCTCTCGTGCACTTCCCTCCAAGCAAATACAATGGATTTCTCGATCTTTGGTTACAATACTAGAAAGAATACCATCTTTCGTGAGACAAAGGATGAATGAAGTTGAGGATTCCATCCAAAACTCTCTGGGATCCTACGATGTGCCTCTAAGTCGCACAGCCCAACTGCCAGATCATGCAAAAGGACATGTGCATCCTCCCTCATTACAAGCACAGTCAGTTGTTCTAGATGCTTGGAAGGAGCTTGAGCTATTGCCAAGAGACCAAAACGAAGATTGTTCACTATTCAGCTGCGGGGCTGATTTTGTTACTGCTTTGCTACTCTCCAAACGCTATCTTTATTGCGGATATGATATCAGCCCTAAGGATATTATTCAGTATCCTACCCGCTCAATGCAGGCATATATGGTAGACTCAAAGATAAAATCAAAGCCCAGTGAGATAGTGTTGGTTGATTGAAAGCTGATATAGTGGACTTGTAAAGTATAGCAATTGATGTCACTCTTCATTATTGTATGAATATTCTCTTCTGGCAAGCTAAAGACCGTATAATCAGCCAGTCATTTATCTACTCTTACGGTCACTTAGTAATTCAAGCTCACAGCTATACGAGACTTCAGCGCTTTAGTCTCTAAGCAGGTCCCTGTAAGCTCTGAGTCACACATCTTACAACGCCAAAGTTGCCTTGAAGCCGCAGAATCCAAACATTATGCAAGATTCTTTAGGAAATGATCAGGTTGCTAATTCAGGCTGGTCTCAAACCAAAGTAGCGTGAAAAGGTTGCTAAATGTGTCTATGTAGTCAGATTTAAGCTGCTGGGAACAGGCAAGGCAAGGCAAGGGAATAACAAGTTTGACCGTCTATGTCTATTCAACACACATGCATACTGACGCACTATCTCGAATATCATAACCCTTTGTAGCAGTCGTGGGATTAGCGCTGTGCCACGACTATACTTATATTCATTCGAAACCCCGCAATGAAAATACAAGGATTAATGCAACCCCCTCAAAAGAAACACACTAGCAAAATTAATTTATTCAAGATGCGACAAGGCATTTGTAGCGTTCAGGGGCCGGAGACGCGAACCGATTTTGGTAATGGTAACGAAAAATGATTTCTATAAGTCTAAAAATTTTCTCGGATTCTTTAATGCTATTGATACCACCTACTCATAGTACACTCTCGCGCCTTGGCTTACATCGAGTACCTTGAATGGCTGCGATGGCACAATAAGACATATTACCAGCACCGGTAATCGGACCTTCCACTCGATTAATACAGTGTCCAGAGTCTAAATAAGTTATTGTACTATAGCTCAAGACATTATGATCTTCGACACTTTGATGCGGGATGCTGTACTGGCTCCAGTTCTGCTTATTGTAGGACTCGGTCTCTACGAATTCCTTCGGACAAAACCACCCTTCCAAATTCGTCCGAAATTGCCCAAGCTCCCCGTGGTTGGCGCTAAAAGGGGAGAATGGTTTTCGATGCTGAAGGCCATGTGGAGGAATTCAATCGACGTCAGGAGAGCTTGTCAAGATGCCTACCAATTCAAGGACCAGCTCTGCCTTTTACCCATCATTGACTTAGGTCCCACTGTGATAATACCTCCCAGCGAGATTTCTTGGTATCTAGACCATTCCGACTCGGACATAAACACACGCGAACATTTAATGGATGCATTCCAGCTCGACTGGACCCTCACAGACCCACGGATATTCAGAGAAAACAGGCCCATACACCATGTCTTAATTAGCTCGAAACTGACACGGGAGATAAACAATCTTCTCCCTGGGTTAGTAGGAGATATCCCCAGCAACATCACCGCGACTTGGGGAACTGATACGGAGAACTTTAAAGATCTATGTCCTATGGACGACCTGCCAAGTGTAGTTGGGCGAGTCGTGAACCTGGCGTTTGTTGGTGCCCCAATGTGCTATAATAAGGTCATGGTTGATGCTGCTATCACATTTGCCAAAGGTCTAGCAATCACCGCTATCTTGTTACGGTTGACGCCCCAGATACTTCGGCCTCTGATAGCACCTATTGTGACTCTGCCGCAAAGGATAGCAACATGGCGATTTTTCCGTGAGCTACGGCCTGAAGTCGATCGACGCCTGCGAGAGCGAGATCAAGATAAACACAATGACTTTCTCCAGTGGATCATCAATGCGGCCATCCAAAGCGGGGAACCATATATGCTAAAGCCAAAGACAATCATGGGCCGTATTTTGCTACTCAACTTTCTGTCCATTCACACGACAACACTAGCCCTCACACACGTTCTGTTTGATCTCGCCTCAAATACACCGGCTGATATCGAGGAGCTGCGAACAGAAATTTCGAAGGCGCTGCAAGCACATGGTGGCAAATGGAACAAGCAGACTCTTGGAGATATGCCAAAGCTAGACTCGGTGTTCCGCGAGTCGCAGAGAATGAACCCACCAGCAACAATCGGATCGCCCAAACTCGTGACAGCTCGAGAAGGTGTCACGACACCATCAGGTGTCCATCTCCCTTATGGCACCTACCTCGCCATAACTGGATACGCGGTCTTGCGTGACCCTATCCTATATCCGGATCCAGAAACCTTCAAACCTTTCAGGTTCGCTGACCAGAGTGAAGCGGCAGAGCAACAAGGGTTGACGTTGGAGAAGGCAAGACAGGCATGGACTGCAACGAGCAATACGTACTCGACCTTTGGGACCGGCCGACATGCTTGCCCTGGTCGCTTCTTTGCATCAACCTCCATCAAAGTCTTTTTAGCATACATTCTCATGAATTATGATATTGAACCGCGGGCAGAGCGGCCATCGACGCCTTCAGTTGGTACAGCTTTGATCCCACCCATGACGGCAACGATTAGATTCAAGCGGCGGAAGGAGCCGTTTACAATTTGAGTTAAAAGACAGTTGAGACGAGCTTTTGGGCTAATCTTTTCTGTCAATATCGTGATGTCTTGGCCACTATTAGCGCAACGAGTTATGACAAGGTCAAAATTGGCTGTCCAGAGATCTTGACTTTGGACAGGAAAGGATCTGGAATTCCTATCTTCTCCGACCTCCTCCTGGCCATTAGACGCGTTGTTGCTAGGTTTAGCGATACGCTTCAACAGGTCAAAACCAAGACCGGGTGGTGCTGAGACGAAACTAGGTAGGATGTTGTGGATTGGATTTCTTTTTAGCGAATCACTATAAGATGTAGGAAATGGAAGTCTTTTGAATACAAAAGCATACGTCACTTGACAATTCTGAAGGTCATGCAAAGTGCAAGGAATAAGTTTGAATTATTATGAAGAGGAGTATTATATTATCATCAAGCTACATACGCCTTTCAAGATGTCTGTGGTAACTACTATTATATGATTTTTTCCCGAGCCGTACTGTACAGTATCAACCTATTCATGCGGCAACCATTCCTGTGATTCTTTTGAATTTCTCTTCAGTATGACTCCACACCTTCTCTAACATTCCTTCCTCTCTAAACTTCGTCAGGATGGCCGCAACTTTAGGCCCCGAGTTCTCCCCAAACTGGTCTACGGAATACACACCACTTCCAGCTTCTCCATTTGTTCCCCTCGTAATGGTGATAAAAGGACTAATGAGTTTCCATGCTATCTTCATCACGTACATCGATATACCTTGGGGATCTCTCAACATACCCCCGTCGATGGCTCCCGGGTACCCGTGGATGAATGTTACGTTGGGGGCTTTCTTGGCAAGTGCTTCCATGAACAAGGTTATCATGGATACAAAATGGCCGCGCGCTTTCATCATAGGAACCTTCCGCGCCTAAAAGTCGTTTTCATAGATGGGGCCTTCGTGGGCCCCGGCGAAAATGGTAATGACACGCCGAAGTCCTTTCGCTTGTTGGATAAGTGGTAGGAGGTTGACAATAAACCGATTCCGGGAGTAGAAATTTGAAGAAACAACTGTGTGAAGACCTTCCATCGTCTCTATAGAATTGGTTAGCTTCTTTTTGAACAATGATATCTCTCGTAACTATAAACATACCCGTATAAAAAATGTAATGATCCCTGGCTGAGGAACAGCAGATTTATTATTTTCTCCTTGCTCTTGATATCGCGGCAGACATCATCGACCACTTTAATGAGGCTAACATCTGCCTTGATGAAGAAATATGAACCTTCCTTATTTAGAGCCTCCAATTTGCCTGTAATACGATCTCCAGCTTCTTGTGAACGCCCAACAAATTACATGCGGGGTGCTTTGGAATATCTGGCGTATTGTTTCATGGAAGTTTCACCGATGCCACTAGTCGCACCGACAAACACAGCGACGGAGCCAGGATTGAGGGTCTTGGAAATCCTTGCATTGGAAGCCTGAACTGCAGAGAGGAACACCATCTTGTGATCTTTGAAAAAGGGATGACTATGATGCGCTGCAAAATCGCGAGTCGTGCTACGGAGGTGATTAGGATATATGGCAAGAAGTCACGAAACACGCTTCGTAACACAGGGAGTTTATTTGTTTTATATGTCCTGATACTTATAACAGACTGCAATGGGCTGTTTTATTATGATTCATTGGTTGATACTGATGCTATGTTTCTCCTTCTTATCAGAAGCCAATGCCGTAGTCTCAAATACGACACGCGGTTAGCTTAGTGTCGGAGTTCTAGGTTCTCCCGGATTTGCGGAGAATCTCCTAGTCAACTGGGCGTTTTCCGGTATGTGTGTTTAGCCTATAAGGCTTTTGCATGTTAGCCTCCTTTATTACAACAATGAATTGTGGAAGAGCTCAGCTCCACATTGGAAATAAGCGAAGGAGAAAAGGGGGTGAATCGCCCCCTTTTTTCCCTTCCTAATTCAGTGCCCTCAACGTGATAGTATCCTATGACTATAAACACTATAATAGTCCTTCTAATTTATGAAGCGCAAAGCGTAAGCTTCTAATTGCTAGCTAACTATTATATAATCTATAAACTTCATTCGCCCTAAAGTTTAACCTAAAACCATGCCCCCCGCAGCCCCCCGCAAGCTTCGGGGCGTTAGATATGGCCGTGCCTAGCTAACGTAGCAGTAAGTAAAATTAAAAGAAGTTTATCTAAGTGGAAGCGAAAGGAGGACGTGGGGGAAAGCTGCAGCGCTTTAGTATGCTGCTATAAGTATAGAAGTAAGGGAGGGGTAACTAAGAACATGTATCAAAACGCTCCTGCCACTACTATTTTTATAAGCTAATCATATACCCTAAAACTTTCTTGATCTATATTTGTAACATTTAAATCCTGTACCCCCTATTAACACACACAATTTTGGGTCACGCGTTAGAGGAGAAAGTAGACACTAGCGCTGGCAAAAAGGATTTGTTTTATTTTAAAAAACGATAGTCTTGAATAAATTTACTTAGAAAGAAGAACTTACGGATGTTTTTCATATACTATATATAAGAATACAATCAATCACATAGCAAGCGCCGAGAAAAGGGGGGAAAAATTATCAGGGCGCCGACTTAGCACTTGCCGCCGTTTCTTAGGCGAAAAAAAAAAAAAAAAAAAGAAACGAAGTTGTTTCTGGAGCAGAGAGGACTCGAACCCCTGACTTCTTCCACTTTCTTACAATTAAAGACTGCTAAGGAAGCACGCTACCGCTGCGTCACAGCCCCGATATTTTATTTGTAATCTTCTTATACAACTTTATAGCTACTCTGTGGTTGGGAATAAGTCTTGACCCGCTTTCCCAATGCAGCTAGCGGGTGGGTGTCAAATTTTAGCTACACTTAGTTACCAACCTGGCCTGGCCTGGAACTTCTTCTACAACCCCTATAATACGGCGACGACGTATAAATCCAACGACCTTGTAAAAGATAAGCTATGCGCCTAAGGACTTGCCAATACCAACTACATGTCTTGGCAGTCTTCTCTGTACCCAAAACCGCAATGCGTCCGATAACCATTTCTCAGTCTGGTCATCACGCTGGGATCAATAGACCGCCTTTTTCCAACGCAACTGAGCCATTTCCACTTGGACTAGGGCAATTGGTTTAATAAACCAACACTAGCATGTCAGATTGCGGTGTTGGATCTTTCCAATTAATCAACTTTACTTAATACATTGAGCGAACAGAATTGTGATTTGATAATTAAAAGAAAGACGGAAAAGTTGGCTTTAAAGATGATTATGTCGTGGCCTTTCTATTTCATTCGAATGTGAGAAACCTGGGTTCGGAGGGTATTCATCTTGCATACCATTGCTCTTTTTAAAGGATCGCAGATACGAGGGTACTAGAGGGAATGGATTATCCAATCATATTCCGAGACATCACGGTGCCGCAACACCAACACAGAAGAACGAGATGCACTCTGTATAAGGCCATAGCTCTTCCTCTATATCCCACATTCTATCTCATTTCATTTAACTACCCTTCTACCTCAACCCAAAATCTTATCCGCAGTGCTAACTTCAGCCCCGATGTTATCCGGCTCAATATGCACGCTCTTCACCTTTCCATCCCCAGTCACTACAGCGTACCGCTTGCTTCGGTTCGTGCCCAGCAGAGGAGCAGCAGGGAACTCGACGTCGAAGGCGCGCGAGAACTCGCCCGATGCGTCGCCTAGGAATCGGATCCCGGAGGATTTGTCGGCGTCGAGGGATTTTCCCCATGCGTTCATGCTGGTGGTTGTTAGAAGGGAATGGGAAGAGAATGTTGGAGGGGGGGAGAATGGGAGTGGGAGTGGGTGGGAGTAGGTAGGGTAGTGGACCCGAGGATAGTGGAGAATGGGGATGTCATTGGAGGAAACGTACACGAAACCATCGTTGACGGAAACGACGAATACCTTGCCGGCGCTCTTGAGCTTGGGGTGTGCGATGAAGCCCGGGATATGGGAGTCGGAGCAAGTTGGGCCTTGACACGCAATCAGTTAGCAAGCACAACACAGCGCGTTATAAAAAGAGCTCTGGCACAGGATAAGATAGGTATGGACGTACTGAAAGCAGCAGGGACACCAATGATGATTCCGTTACCAGTTGCAAGCTCTTGCGACAGATCAACCTTCTTGTCCGGAGCACCCTCTTGGAGAGGGATGCTGGGAATGCTGTCTCCGACCTTGACCATTTTGACGGTTGTAGATAGGTAGATGGGTATGTTGCTAGGAAGTTTACTTGAGAGATTGGAGATGAAGTGAGGTGAGATGAGTATATAACAATTGCTTTGGATGTGGATATGGAAGAGGGGTCGTTATAAGTAATGGACCCCGCCGTAAGGTACAATACGTCACGTACCGGCGCTAAGCCATATACGACCTAGGTAGCCTGCAGAGTATTTGAAATAAGAGAGGGGCAGGGAAAAGGGGTAAATCTCTACAGTACAGTACTGTAGTTCTCAATATCAACATAAGATAAGCATCATGGTCTAGAACTACCTACCTTTCCTACTCTTCTTAATTCTTATAAATCATATTATTCTTCTAGCACCAACATCAATGAGACTATTCAAAATGCCTAGGTGTAGGTATGTATTAGCAGTGCCGCCAACTTGACACGCTGTCTCGCATATTTCTTCAAATACAACACACACCCATCATCCACTTTACAACCTCCATACATACCCGGTATACACAGTACTATACCCATATAAAGCCGAAACCCTGTCGGTACGTAGGTACGAGTATTTGTCACACACACCCACACTTTCCCTTTCTCCCTCTCTCACTGCCGAATCGGTACTTACTAACAAATACCCCACCCCTCCAAAACTCACCCCACCACCAGAAGGTCCAGAACCAACCAGCCAGCCATTCTTATAAACCAACAAAGCAATCAACATTTGCATTTAAACGGAAAACCTCGCCTTCATGAAACATACTTACCTACTTATCTAGGTATAAGTCGTGACGAATGTAATAAATTGTCTGTGTGTGGAGGGGAACGGGGGCGAGTGTTGTTTCTTCAAACCGCTGTTTATCTTCCCTTTCGCCCGCACCCCCACCCCCTATACTGTTCTTTTGCAGAATGAAGAACGCCAGAGGACAATATACATTTGCTTCAAAAAACCAAATTTCAGATTTTGTCTTGTACTTGGTATATCGTGCTACATTTTATTTTCCATTCCATTGCATTCTATACATCAATACAACCCCTCATCATCATCCTCTCCATCCCTAAACCCCATATCAACAGCCTTCCCTTTTCCCTTCCCCTTAGACCCGTTTGAAGTAATACCCCCCTCATCACTATCAACCGCCCTCCCTTTCCCTTTCCGATCAACAACTTTCGCTTTCCCCTTACTCTTTGGCCTCCCATTCGCATCCCTCACATCCGCATCTACCTCCACCTCCGCCTTCCCCTTGCCATCATCAGGTTTTTCAAACATACCCCTAACCTTCTTATAATGCTCCAACTCCCCAAAACTAACACTGGGAACCAGCTCTTTCTCCGCTAGCATGAAATCTTCTTCCGTGACCACTACATCCGTATCCTCTTTCGTCGCGTAATGGTCGAAAAAGTATGCAGTGGAGATTTTGGTGGAGGTGTTATTGATTGCGGCAATTTTGGTGTCGACGAGGGAGGCTTGACGGGTCACGGCTTTGAGCATGGCGTCGGAGCAGAGGGCGTAGAAATCGGCGCCAGTATATGTGAAGGGGAGCCGGGAGGCGACGCGCTGTAGAGATAGGGAGGGATGGAGTGTGAATCTAGAAATGTTGCATTAGTAATGTTTACAAAATACGGTGACATGGTGAACTTACTTCCGTGTCAAGGCTTCCATAATCGTCAGCTGTTTCTCGTGCGTGTCGCTCACGCCCAGATACAGCATCTTGTCGAATCTACCTGGTCGCAACAATGCAGCATCAAGCAGATCAGGTCGATTCGTGGCGCCGATGACAAACACACCCCCTCCACCATCTTCACCGTCTGACATGCCATCAAGCTCAGCTAGGAGTTGGGAAACGATGCGGTCCATGACACCACCGCTGTCACCTTGATTTCCTCGTTTTGGTGCTACTGAATCAAGTTCATCAAAGAACACAACACAGGGCCTCGCATCGCGAGCGCGCTGGAATACTCTTCGCACGTTGGCTTCTGATTCACCAATGTACATGTTGAGCAATTCTGGTCCCTTGACGCTGAAGAAGTTTAGACTAAATTCGGTAGCGATAGCCTTCGCAAGAAGGGTTTTGCCGGTGCCGGGTGGACCGTAGAACAAAATCCCGGATCGCTTCTTCATGCCCTTGGCGAAGAGTTCTGGGCGCTCAAGCGGAAGTTGAATGGTTTCGATGACGGCATCCTTGACGTTTGTGAGACCTCCAACATCGTCCCAGCCTACATTTGGAATCTTGGGAGCTCCAATTGCATCAGCAAAATTCTTCCTTGCGGCATCGACGGCAAGGTCAAAATCAGCTTTCGTAAGACAACGGCCTGCAGGGCCACCGGCTACAAGTACATCCCGCACAGTAACAGGGGTTTCAGCATTGGAAGACGCAGAGGCAAGTGATTCGAGTCGCGAGTTTCTTCCTACAACAGCACGGTCAACAACATCAACGAGATCGCCGGCCACGAGGGCAGCAGTTTTGACAGCAACACCGCTCAAGTCTACTTCTGGAGCAAGAGGTATTGGCTGAGCATCGATTATGCCTCGGAGGATGCCCTCGCGCTCCCATTCGTCAGGGGCACTCATTTCCAGCTCATGCGTAAAGAGACCTCGAACGCCATCTGGGATCTTGTCAACCTCAGTAGTGGTGGCAATCAGTACTCGAAGCCCCGATAAGATTCCACTCAGTGAGGTGATCATTCGATCAGCCGTGAGAGCTTCAATATGACGAATCAAAATAGAACAAAACTCAGGCCCACAAGCCATAGCTTTGTCAGCACGAGTTTCCAAGTATGCAATGGCATTCGTATCACTACCCGCTCTACCTTCCGTCATGATATCATAAGCATCAATATTGTACGTATGCAGACCAATATCAGCGCACGCTTTCGACGCCAATGTTGCTTTCCCAATATTTCGCTGTGTGGAAACCAGAAGAATGGCAAGAGACTGCTGCTGGAGATGAATGGCACGAGGACTCGTAGCAGCAGCAATCAGCTCTCTCAGGCGGCGCTGAAGAGTAGTGACTTGGTGTCTCGGTGCCTCCGGCATGGAAGTTGTACTTGTTTCAGACTTGGGGACGGCAGTCAACCCCAAATAATATTTCCAAGTGCTGTCCATAGTCCCAGGAACTCGTCCAGTTGCACTGCCAGACTGCATCATTTTAGTGATCTGACTATCGATAGATGCAGCACCTCCCCAGATATCCTCATCATCTGAAATTTCATCTTTATTAACTCCAATGTATACTATCTTGAACCACCCAACGCCGGACAGCTTAGATTGCCTGGCAGAGTTTATAGTGCCTAAAGCTGAATTAGATAACAACTCTTGTATCTCATCACTAGCTGAGGGTTCGTATAAGGTTCGTCCAAGGTCCTCATCGATGGGAATGGCCACTAAATCACCCTTTCGAACGACACGTATGCGATTCGCAAAATGCCCCTTTAGATTTGCAAAGAGAGCGTCCTGGAAATTACGATCCGTAGATAGTGGGGTAGCAATTTTCGACAATGTGAGTTCTTGCGCAAAAGGAGGCCGAGATGAACTAGTGATTTTGGGTTGAGCAGTTCTTGCCGGTTGAGAGGCGCGCTTCAGAGCCGAAAGCCTGCAATAAGGTGTATTTTCCATATTTGCAAGTAAGACGGGCGAAAGATAGACTATCGGGTTAGTGGGCTTCTGAACTTGGGATTCAAAGAATGACATTCTTCGTTCCCCTAGCTTATTACTTGGGATCTTCGTGACTGGACGATGAGAGTAGCCTTCTGGTAACCCAAAGACCTTGACGGGACGCCATAACGGGTCTTCTGGTTCGGCGCCAAAGCTTCCGAGACCCCATAGGCCTGCTCCATTTGCCGGTGGCTCAGAAGCAACTTCTAATCGGACCCAATCCCCCGAGAAACAGCCAATCTTCGATAGTGAGCTAACGTCCACGAAAACTCGAGATTCTTCGTCGTCCTCATTACTTGGTTTGGGGTGTAGTATTTCTTCGGCTAAAGGCTTCATCAACCCTTGGGCTTTGAAAAGTCGTCCTTTTTGGCCACCAGCGCGGGCTGTGGTTGCAGTGAATGATGAAAAGACGGAGCCGGGGGTGGCAATTCCATTCGTTCTGTGGCCAATGGTCTGAGGCGACCCTGGCTGTACAGTTGATATTCCACTAGCATTATGAGCTGGAAGCATTGGGGCTTGTAACGAAATCATATCGTCCATAGAATCATCCGATAAATTATCCTCTTCTGATAAGTCTGCCTCAGTATCGGTCGCAGAATCGTTGTCCTCCACAGCCGTATCAGTTTTATACCGGTCTTCGGCTGCAGAATAGAATTGATCGTTTGATGTATCTTCGTCGTCTGACCCCCCGTTCTGAAGGCGGTTCACTGCTAGGGACTGCGGTTTTCGTGCAGTTTTCGGAAGATGGCCAGATTGAGTGATGATAATCTTGGTCTGTGGTGACAAGATACCTTGGCCGACAGGTTCGGAGAGAGTAACCTTGGCAGGCGGAGGAGGAATGTGTGTAATGGGATGAGGTTGTAGTGGTAAGGGGAAATCATCTCCAGTGTGTACAACCTTTAAGGACCCTAGTGCTTCCCGAATTGCAGATGACAATAGTTCTTCGGGGGAGGTAGCACTTGTTTTGACCATCGGTTTGCCATTGGTTCGTGCATGTTCTCCATGAAAAGTCCCTTCTCCATTCTCCAACCGGCTTGCTAGTTCCCTTTCTATTGTCACAAACACAGTATCCAAAGGCATGGGTATTACATCCAAAATTCTGATCTCAATTCCACTTCGACTATGGCTCGATAATTTGGAGGGGGCTATTTTTTGTAGAGCCGCTGCGAATCCTTGGAGCGCGAGGGATGAAGGAGAAAATTGCACTGTCGAATGTGCAAGAGCACTGGAGGATCTGATTGGAACCACCGTCCACGTTGAGTCTTCGACAGTGGTGGAGGGCTCCCAAGGGGAGATTGCAACATGGTGAACCTCGTCGTTTTGAGGGGGGCTGTCATCTTTTTGAGCTGAAATATGTTAGCTAAAACCACTTAGTAGCCAGCAGGAAGTATTCACCATACGCCTGGGCGGGAAATAAATCCGCAAACAGGTCTTCGGAAAGTATCCCAACGTCTCCCTTCACATGGTCATCTAAAACCAATCTCGCAGTAATCGAGGACTTGTCTTGACGCCGCCTCTTGCGCTTTCGATGGTGGGGTATTTGTATAGAATCTGCCATACTTGCAGCCTCGAGCTCTATCTGCTAGGAGTGCCGCGTTGAAAAGCGTTGAAGAGTTATGAGTTGGGGACCATAATCGAGGGTTTTCGCAGGGAAGGAATGCTAGATAATATTTGTATAAGAGACAGCTGTGGATTCGTAAGAATTTCGTAGATATGTACAATAAAAATGGTCAAAACTCAGACAGAATTCAATCAAACGCCGCCAATGCAAGTTTTGGTGTTGGGGTTCAAAATGCAACGAGCTCGGCTGGTACAGCAGGTAGAGTAAGGTACAGAATCAACGGCCGAGGCTTTGTGGAGAAGTGCACTAGAGAGAATACGGCTGAGAGACTTGGAAAGTCATGTGATTGGCGGTTATGGATGGATCTTAGATAGCTTTCATTTTACAAAGTAAAACTATCAAAGCTAGAAAGTGGAAATATCTGGCAGAGAAATAAACTCTCACAGCTTTATGAATGCGCCATCTCGAATAAAGTAAACACTATCACGTGCCTACTAACACGTCAAATTCTTTAGATTTGATTTTCACATGCTATCTGGCTAGGTACCGTATCTACATATAGGGATCTCGGAATCTACCGTACCAATGAACGGTGAAACAGAAACAACCAATCACAAGTCTTGGAGATGTCCCCCGTCCTGCTTTTCGGTCTTTTCAGCTGAACCAGGATCTTACTACAGTATCGCCATGCATCTGGTGTGTGGGCTCCTACAATATCTTGTACATTTGGTTGTCTATTTCTTTCTATATAACTTCAATTCTAACATTTCTACCTGTACATACATGTCCGCTGCAACTTTTCAGACATTGTAGTTATTCGCTGCTTCCCTTGCCACTACAGGTATGCTATATTAGATTTCCCTACATTGTTGCGATCCCCCCCATCGCATCGCATCGCATCATCACTTCGCACCACTTCGCACCACTTCGCTTCGCAATGGGAGACATCCAGAGTTCGGGGACCCCCGTGACAGACCGTCTCACCGCCAATGCTGCAGTGCAATACGCCCACCAAGCCGACAAGCTGTCCTACGAACACGACCCCAGCGGTTGTGCCACCGCCATCCAGGCCGAATTTGTTACACCCCATGATCCTATAATAATAACGGGCGATGGCGGCAGACTACCTGGGGTTCCGCTGGCAGAGGCTGCGAAACTCAATTCCCTCAAGGACCAAGTCGATGGGGTGTCGGGGCATGCTCTTAAAGGGGAGGCATTGGTAGACACTTCCCCCGGACAGAGTGAGAACTCAGGAGCGGAATCGCCCAAACAACATGGCACGATACAGAAGTCCCAGGAAGGTTCGCTGCGCAGATCAATGCCCCCTTCGCGGACACATCCTCTCTTCCCACCTCTCCCGCTCTACGGGCCCTCTTCCATAACTCGACAGATACAATGCATGGTCTTTCGCACATCTTCATTTTTCCTCTCCCTGGCCTTTCTCGGCATTATTGTTTTGGGCTCGGCATTTACTAGCATACCCCTAATGTTCAGACATATTTGGAAGCGTGTTACATTTCGAGACCCGGACGCCTCACGGCCTTTCAATGAAGAAGAGAAGAGGCGGAGAACGATAAGGAAGGAGCAGGAGAAAGTGTGGAAGAAGGAGAGGTCGAGGCGGAGATCCACTACGAAAATGGATGATGATAACGAGGATGAGGCTGCGCAAGGAGAATTCATACCAACGGAAGGGGGAAAGGATCCTCTGATCTGTGATGCTGGGTATTATGCTAGGAGAGTCGGACTGGACGTTGAGGAATTCAAAGTGCAAACTGAAGATGGCTTCATTATCACGCTGTGGCATGTCTACAACCCTCAAGAGTTCACGCCAATGACCGAGGCTGAACGAGCAGCACGAGGCCCAGACATCTTTATAGATGCAGGACCTTCACGCCCTGGTGGCTCTCCGCAGAAACCCAAATTCCCAATTCTAATGATCCACGGTCTCCTACAATCCTCGGGAGCCTACTGCACCAACGACGATGATTCTCTAGCCTTCTATCTCTGCAAAGCGGGCTACGATGTCTGGCTCGGCAATAATCGCTGTGGCTTCAAGCCAGAACACACTCTCCTATCCTACTCCGACCCTCGAATGTGGGCCTGGAACATCCGTCAAATGGGTGTCATGGACCTCCCCGCTCTCACATCACGCGTCCTCGCCGAAACAGGCTTCCAAAAACTGGGCCTCATCGCACATTCTCAAGGCACGACGCAGACCCTCGTCGCACTAGCAAAAGAACAACGTCCAGAGCTAGGCGAGAAACTTACTGTCTTCTGCGCCCTAGCTCCTGCTGCGTATGCTGGTCCGTTAATAGGAAAAGCGTATTTCAAATTCATGCGCATCATTTCACCCGCAATGTTTCGTATAGTATTCGGAATACACGCCTTCATCCCCTTTATGATGACCATGCACGCCCTGCTGCCCGGAAACCTCTACGGAGCAATGGGCTACCGCGTCTTCTCATTCCTCTTCAACTGGTCCGACGACCGCTGGGAACGGGATCTCCGAGACCGCATGTTCCAATTCGCTCCCGTCTACGTATCGGCTGAAAGTATGCGGTGGTGGTTGGGCCGAGAGTGCTTCGCGAAGCAGAAATGTATTCTTGCGACCAAGGACGAGATTCGGGATGAGGAGCGAGAGGATGAGTTGGAGGACTATCATGCGAATCAGGCGGGCGAGGAACATCCTCCGCTGCCTAGGCATTCGCACGAGAAGGCGAGGCATGAGAAGAGGAAAAAGGGCGCGACGGCTTGGTATAATGAGCAAGTCCCGCCGTTTGCGCTGTGGGTTGCTGGGTCGGATGATCTCGTTGATGGGCGCAGGTTATTACGGCGTTTTGACAGGGGGCGCGAGCCGCATGTCAGGGTTGTGCATTCCAAGGTCATTGAGGAGTATGAACATCTCGATGTCATCTGGGCCATGGATTCTATAGAGAAAGTTGGACGTGAGGTCAAAGATACTCTATGGAAGACGTGTGATGTGAGAGACAAGGTTCGAGTTCCGAGGGGCTGTGAGGAGGTTGAGGTGTGGATTGATCCGAAGAATGAGCGGAAGGCTAACGATGATATAAAAGAGGCTGAGGGGCTAAGTAGTAGCGCTAGCGAGACGGATTTGGGGGCGTAGCATAGTCATTTCCCGTTCTGGCGTCTTGGTTGGTTGGATTTTTGGATGGAAATACATGCATGAGCAAGCGGGAGTTGGTAGGGGAAACAGAACATATTACGTACATGCTATATATAACTTTAGAATAGATATAACAGTCCTACAAGGGACATGCAATACAGATCATATCAAGCATTCCTCAACCGACTGAGTCTTTCTAGCGATTCAACTTACAGACTCCACCCAAGTGGAGTCAGCGAATCAGTCAATATTCCTTGACTTGTATGTACTATTCACATCCGTTCCTTACTCCCTCCCTAGGTACTTTGTGAATCGCGCTCACCCGGTCGCTCTTCTTCTACCTTTCTTTCAGTCGTCACGGTGCGCTATTTATTTCACCTACTCTATCCACGAAATCCAAAATCCAAAATCCACTCTACCTCGACGCACTGCACTTAACACTTCTCGCTTACTGCTATATATATGCAGTAACCCCTGTTCATGCCCCTCCTTTTTTTCTTTAGGAGCTAAGTATGAAAGACAATGATGGTACATAGGACGTATGAGAGGAGGGGAGGAGAATGTTTAACTTGTACGCTTTTTGAAGTGTGGAAATGTCGGTTTAGCTTTCCCCTCCATGATAAAAATTCAGGAGCAAGCTGCTTTTTGTAGTGGGGGAGGGGGTCAGGGACTACATATGCGAAGTTGACAGCAAGTGGAGGTTGACAACAGAAGCAAAGTATAAGCTATGATTCTGAATCCAACGCTTTAAGATAATTTTATCGTTATCTGAGTTTATTAGGTCAATGAAAGGTTGCATTGGCCATAAACGGCTTTTTGATCCTTCAAGATTACCCAACTTCATCTGACTCCATTAGGTCAATAAAGGTTGTATTCATTAGCTATGAACGGTATACTATGTATGGTAGTCTGGTTGCAGCTCTAGTATTTGATTGAAGTTTGGAATGTTCTAAAACCCGGATAACGTGCTGTTGATACGTTAGAGATGTTGCTGGGACCATCGCAAAAAGAGCGCTTGGAGAAGGAGGGGAAAGTCACTGTCATGGAGGATATCACGGAGTGGGATTGTGGAGATTACGAGGGTTTGAAGCCGAATGAGATACATGAAAACAGAGAAAAGAGGGGTTTGCCTAAATGGGATATTTGGACGCAGGGTTGTGTGGGCGGGGAGTGAGTTGAACGTACCCGCTTGTTAGCAAGTGAAGCTTCGATGTTGCATATGCTCAACAAGAACTTTCTAATATGCTCTGCTCAATCTAGGTCAGCCGAAGCAGTGCAACAGCGTCTCGATAGACTCATCGGGGAAATATGTAAAATGCAAATTCCACACATAGACGGCAAAAGCAGACAGTCTTCAAATGTCCTGATTGTAAGAGCGCAATTTCTTCCTTACATTTCATTTCACATATCTAATAAGACTGAGTTCTATAGGTCGCTCACGGTCATATCCTACGCGCATTTACCAAGAGGTGGCTTCTTTACGCCATGGACTTCCCATTTATAATGATGATGGAGCTAGGTGCCATTGGTATCTTGAGTTATGCTCACCATAATGTCAAGGATCCTGCTATTCTAGTTGGCATGGCCTTTCCTCAGGCAAAGTAGTCTGATATATTTTGAGGCTCTCGGGAGCTGGTACACATATCACTTGTTATTCTTGAATTAGCCTCTATCCTTGCTAATCTGATATGCTGCCATGTCTCTATTTACTGGATCCTGCTTGAGGCACATCAAAATGAGGGGTGTCAGGACAAGCGGTAGCGATTTGGCCTTGCCAATCAACCTCGTCCGTGTTAGACCACATATGGTGAAAGAAACCAAGCCGCCAGATGTGACCATCTAAGTGCAGTCAGATAATTCGATTGGCCCACGTCGAGGGTAGTATTGAGAACTTTTCGGCTAAATATGCCAAAAGCACGACAATCTTCCCCAGAAGAAGAGGTCCGGCAAAGTGCGAAACAGGTAGAGATTTTACTTTACTGGTCATTGAACAATATAAGTATTGGTGGATCCATAATCAGAAGGGTGTAAATACATGAGAACTAGAGATATTCCAATTCCGGACGATAACATCTCATCACGCGCAAGAATATATGTGTAACCTGGACGATAGGCGTCAATATCAGGCGTACCCGTTGAGATATACAAAACTAGGCATGGCAAGTTCTGTTTCCACTGACTCTACGGAATTCTGGATATATTGCATATGAATAGTTTCACACGAAAACCGATAGGTTTTGGTCGTTTCGTGCCTCCTCCTTTTCCACTCTCCATGCATGCAGGCGCCGCTTGCATACATGTTTTTCGACAGTTCTGCACCCACACAGCCTTCCATGAGCTTTCGCACATGATGATCTTTCAATCTGTTCTTAATTAACTGCTGTGCAACCAAGTGGCTGTCCGCCAGCGGATGCTCTGTTTAATGTACTTTTATACCCCACACGCTGATTTCCTCTGTTATCTTGAGAAACCTTAAGGTAAAGTTACACAAGTCTACCTCTTCATCCCCCAGTATGCTATTTGGGTTTGGTCTAGCTGTTACAGCTCTCTTTACACTTACACAGGCAGCATTAAACCTTAGTGTCCTATCGGAACTTCCTGCTTGCACGGTCGGTTATTAATCATCAATGAGTACTCTGAGTACAAACTAATAGGCTAGCTTTCATGTTCCACGACTCGGCTTGCCGCTGCGAACTGTCCCCTCACAAATCTTCAGAATTGCATGTGTACGAATACTACGCTGCAGAGCGAGTTATTCGTGTGCATTATCGTAAAATGTAATTATACCGAGCAGATAAGTATGTTTAGATTCCAATCTTGGAAGTGCTGTATGCTGGCTGACTTCCAAATCATAGTATCTGCACAAGTTAATCAGAACTTGATCTGTGGTGGCATTCCACAGCCCTCCCGAAGAACAGAAATCATACGATTCATATCAATCATAACGGCGGTCACGTCCCCGTTTATTATATTACAGGGTCTTTCACGGTACCTAGTGACGAAATTCTGGTGGGATGATGGGATTATGTTGATTGCAGGCGTAAGTCCCCCTTTGGCCCGAATTGCTAGCAGCTGAGAGTTGACTACAATCTAGGTGCTCCTAATACCCTTGTCTGGTATCCCATTATACAGTAAGTATAAACTAATTGGGCTGAAGGTTCTAGCGTTTAGGCACTGTCTGAGGGCAGCGCTAACAATCCCTAGTTGCTACCAAGGGATTTGGAGACCACTTGTGGAACGTTCCGCCTGAGAACATCCTTATTCTACAGCAGGTAAGTAAACATATGACAGCTAGTGCGTGTCTATACTAATTCGAAGCAGCTTTCTTACGTTTCTGCAATCCTCTACGCTTTCTGTATCACGCTTCCTAAAATCTCCATTCTTCTTTTCTACCTACGAATATTTCCCAATAAAAAGTTTCGCCTTTTAGTAAAGATTGCCATTGCAGCAGTCAGTTGTGGAGGTCTGAGCTTCACCTTGGGGGTAATATTTCAATGCTCACCTGTGCGCGCTGCCTGGGATCTGACTGTGGATGCCAAGTGCATCAATTCAAAAGGCATCGTATTTAGCGGAGCTACTATTGCGATTGTAGAGGATTTCTTGATTATGTTTTTCCCGCTCCCGTTACTGAAGGGTTTGAATCTATCTCTGCGGAAGAGAATTGCTTTAGCCTTCATGTTTGCCATAGGATCGTTGTGAGTACCCACAGATGCCTCAATAAGATAGTTTCCTAGGGGAGTGCTGATTATGTTACAGTGCCTGCGTTACTAGTATATATAGGTTGAAGTGGCTAGTTTGGTTCCATTTGCACTCACTTGACGCAACTTGTAAGCATTCCAAACTCCTTCTTGCATCAGAAAACACCCCAGATCACTGATCCAAGACCAGGGGTTAATGTGGACCCAGTCATATGGTCCGTATTTGAGGTCTACGCAGCCATAATCTGCTCCTCCATCATGACCCTCCGGCCACTCCTTGTCAAATATTTCCCCCGAGCTTTCGGCTCCAAACGATCTACCCCAAGTAACACCAGCTTTAGCGCTAGCTGGAGAAATCGAATCGGCTTTCATCAAGAATCAAGACCTTGGAGTAATAATAATGGGGTAGAGTTGCTTAGTCAAGAAAACTTTGTGGAACCTAGGAACCATAAACCGATACATGCAAGCCGGGTCGAGAACAGCACAACCTTTGACGAGAATGTTAGAGCAGACCATCGTGCAAATATCTGGTAAATTCAAGTGTATATTCATTAGAATCAGATCCCTGTACAGCTTTATAATAGCTTCACGTCACTTCTGATTTCGGGTAATTATTCAGGAACTCAAATGTATTCCAAGGGAATCCTCATCCTTGAAACCAGCTCTATTCGAAAAGGAATATTATAAAACTTTACACTTCGGTTACCCGCTTTGTTCTTTGACTTAACGTATTCTACCAGATGCTCTTCGATTTATTGATTCATGTAATTGTCAGAGAATATATTAGGAACTTTTAATGGGAATGATGTTTTACAGCTGCCGCAGAAAGTAGGAGTTAATACAAAAACCAACAGCCTCCGAGGAAAGTTCATTGCTGGCCAATTCCCTGATGGAGAACAAAGAAACCATGGTTCATGACATAGCCCTTCCGTATACTATATTGCTTTGTGCTAGATGCATATGCTTAACGCGCCATGCGGAAATATAGACAAAGGGACCGAACGTAGAATCCCGGCTTCGGAATACCTAATAGTGCATTGAAATATCCAGGCATCTGATGGATTCGAGCTTCTATTCATTACATTTGCCGAAGTATATACAGTACCTAAAATCTAATGGTGCATGCGTATATACCAAAATAAATCAAAACTTCCAAAGAGCCTCCTACATTTCCGCGAGTATTTTATTTTCTCCCATCTGCATAATTCTGGCGTCATTCTCCAGAAGCAGCTTATTTCAATTCTTCATCGCCACCTCTTTGATCACTCCGAGTACATTCCATATAAAGCCTTCCCAAGTCCCCTTGTCCCCACCCCCCCGCAAAAGGACGGCCTTGTCGCAAACACACCAATACGAATTACAATAACGTAAAACAAAAGATACACATCATCTTCCGTATGCATACCGTCGCCCTTTCGCAAAAGACAGACGCCGAGGGTATGGATTGGGATTGGGAATGTTGCAATGTAAGATATGATATTCTCACTTTGTAGATTAGAGGGACATGACTCATGAGGCTAATTAAAACATTGTGTTGGTAGTGTGATAATTCGAATCCGAATCCTGATAAGACATGTCCTATGTGTGGACATGTTGAGTGTCCTGATTGTGGGGAGATTCGGTAGATTCGTTTTCGATGGGTTGGAAGTAGAAATAAGAGACGACGGGACCTAAGGGACGATAAAGGATTTGAATGGGAAGCAAATGATTGCGGACTTTTTGTAGGTGAAAAAAGAGGGGAGTGGGTTTCGGTTGAGAAGAAAAGCAGCGGAGAGAATGAAGTAAATCAATTCACGTACAAGTCAACAAGAGCCAATGCAAAGTAAAGTAGAGGTGAGTGAGGTGATACACCAAGTGACATTTTTATTCGGTATCATGTCCCTGTCCTGTCGGCTGCTATAATAACGTACATCCACCATCCACCACAACACCTACCACCCAGAATACCAACTCCCTCCCTTTCTCTCTCCGAGTCTCTCAAAACATGCCTCCCACCCAACGACTATCAACGGCCTCTCTTTCAAATTCAAATTCAAAAAGAAAAAATCAAGTCCAGTAATACTCTGTAAGGAAAAACATCGCATGTCATGCGTTAATAAAACAACAAGAAAAGCACCCGTGCATGCTTATCATAAACTCATTCGCTCGTACTCATTAGGCATTAAGCAAGCCAATCATGCAGGTGATCGGTCTGCATTTAAAAATCCCAGAAATCACCACCAGTCACTTGGTTCTTGCCTCCCTGCTTGCCGGTTCGAAATTTGTTGGGTTTGTTGTGTTCGGCCTCCTCACCATCGCTATCATCACCGAAGCCCCATTGACGACCAACACCCTTCTTGCCACCCATTCCATTACCACCCGTGGCGATTCCTTTGTGCTCATCGTTTCTGTGACTCATGGCATTGGTCGCGTCGGAAAGTGGAGCCTTGGCAGTAGGTGGCATATTCTCCTTCTGATCTGGGGATTTATCACCTGCGATCCAATTGGGTTCCATCATCTTGACTGCCTTGGCTCTGTCTTCAGAGATACGCTGAGGTGCAGGTTTCGCTGATGGAGAATCATCTTTCATCTCCCAGTGGGAGTCAAAGTCCTTGCGGCGATCAACTACATTCGCAATGGGTCTGAATTTATGCGGCTCATCACCTCCAGCCTGTCCACCAGTCTCATCATCATAAACGTTGTTCCTATAGAGACCCATACCGTCGTTATGGCCTTGCCCACGGGGTCGACCAATAATGCGACGCCCGGCCTCTGGAGTACCATCGTCCTTGAACTCAAAATGGGCCTGGGCGTCCTTCCTTGGCTTGTCCACCTTTGGGTGCTTGACTGGGCTATCAACAAGTTCATCGTCCTCATTGCCCCAGTGTCGGACCTCGTTGGCGCGCTGAACTTTGCCAGGGACAGCCTTCGCAGGGGTGTTGAAATCATCAAAGCCCCACTGAGTTCCGTGCTTGCTCGTCTTCTCCTTACGAGCAGGAGCATCATGATTTTCACCAAAGTCAAAGTGCTCATACTTCTTAGAATTTGTCTCTTTCATGGGGGATGGTCGGACGAGATCAGCCTCGTCAAGCTCCTCAGTATCGAACAAGCGCGAAGGCCCATAGTTTTTTCCTGCTCCTGCACCGCCCTTGCCCCTGACGCCGCCGTTTCTAGAGGGGGACTCGGCACGTTCGCGGGCAGTAGGTCTGGTAGGTTCAGTTGGAGATTGGTCTGATTCATTGCCGACGAACAAGTCATGGTAATTCCGCTGTGCTGGCTTTGCTGAAGAAGCGCGAGCAATAGCTGCTGGGCGGGTCTCGGCACCGGCAGCCTTTTCGCGTGGCCCAAAGAGAGATAAAGATGCATGAGGATCGCGGGTAACGTTCGTAGAGTTGGCGCGGGAGGAACGGGCAGCATCGGCAGCATTCGAAGTAGATCCCGAGGAAGGTTTGCCAGTCGACTTAACACTTGATACGATCAAGTTGATTTGGTCCTTTCCATCGCGAATTGGCCAGTTGCGCCCAGTCTTGCCAATAACATCGATCAATTTGAGAAGCGATCCCTGGTCCCAGCTCTGTCGGATTTGCTGGATCTTGTCGTTTGCATCGAAGCTGACGATGTGAATCTACAGAGGTTAGCAGTCTGTTTTTGACAAGGGATACAAAACATACGATTGGCAAGGTGACAATGCGATCCGCGAGGAAGTTGTCATCTAGGCTGGGCAGATATGCACCACCTCCGGTCTGGAATTCCACAGTGGTGTGGACCTCTACAGCTAGAGAGTCTGGGCCTTCTACCACATCGAGGAACTTCTCCTCTTTCTTGAGCTCATGGCTCTGTCCATTGAGGTATTTGATAATCTCTGCGGAGCCGTGCAGGGTGGTGAGAGTGGTAATGTAGTGCAGAGACGCGTCGCTGGCGAGGAAGGATGCGTTTGGCGTAGTTAAAAACTGCTTGTATGCGGCCTGGAGCGCCATAGTGTTCGTTGTTGTGTGGGAGTACAGAGTATGCGCGATGGATGCAGATGCAAGTGGGAGACAGATCTGGTTCTTCTTCTTGTCTGCGCGCAAATTGACAGATGCCGTGTCTTGGGGATTAGACAGAGTGGTGGTGGTGGTGGGAAATGGGAGGGGAGTCAGGGAGGGACGGCTGTTGCAGAAGCGAAAGTGGTGTTTACAGCGTCGCGACTTTCTACGCGGTGAGAAGCGATTCTATTTGATCCGCCGGGCAACAGTGGGTGGAGTGGGTGGAGTGAGTGAGTGGAGTGGAGTGGAGAGGAGTGTTGTATAGAAGTTTCTCTAATGGTATAATTAGATTATGATTAAATCGACATTAACTGTTCCTTTGTCTTGCTTTGGAATTGGTATATCAATTGAGGGATATATCAGTTCCTTATTTTAAGCCTTCGTGTTGTATTTGTTTTGTATCTGCTCAACACCCACCACACCCCCTGGCGAGGATCTTAAGATGCACCCTTTAAGGGGCACATCACAAGGAGCAGTGAGCAATCTCCTCCAAACTGCAATCTTGGAAGTTTACAAGTCTTCGTGCTGTAGGGATTCCGGAGTATCGTAGAGGACCGTAGACAGAAGCGGTGGTGTTTTGTCTACGTACCTGGCTACGAGGTCTGGATGATCTGCCGCACCTGGTTATGCTCCTTTAGGCTAGCAACGACCCTGTCCAGGGCCCGTTTGGTTTCAGAACGCGCCACTGCTGCCAAAATTAGAGGCCATGTTTCAGCTTGGATGCGCGTGCTAAGATGTTCAATGGAGAGAGAGAGGTATCTTTCAGCATGGTAAAGGGGGAGAGATGGACACATGGATAGATGGACACATGGAGATATACACATGGACACATGATGAAAAGAGGTCGTTGATACTCTGTAAACCACAGAAAAGCACCCCATTCTTACTCTCTCATACGATGGGGAAAGGAACTTTATTCAAATCATGCCACGACTAAAACCTTCTGCCTTTTGGTACTTGCATTACTATTGAAAAATACCAACTTCCCATCATCTTCGCCTACACCTTGCCCCTATTCCCGCAGCTCGGTTCCTTACAGGACTTGATTAATCGAGCTACTTTTCACGATGTGTTCGCAGAGCCGGGAATGTTTCAAGGTGTCCAGGTTAGTTCCAGCCCCCTCTCTCCCCCATGCCGCCCAATCACACATGGTAACGCTGCCAACAGCAAACAAAGTTGGTGATAGTTGGTGTATGGCGAGTCCACCAATCATCTACCTGTGTTTCCATTTGTGTTTCGTTTCACCTTCGCGGCAAACAAGTTTCCTTTCCTTGAGCCTCAAGTGTCACCGTGCCCGTGCTTACCTTAATCTGTCGACTTCTCCCTCCATCATTTCATCCTTCCTTCGTGCTTGCTCAGCCTTGGACCTTTGATACAAGCAGTGTCTCGACCTCAACTCCTATAATTTGCTTCTTATATATCCCATCACTACCTAGGTACTTGTAACACACATGTTCCAGCCATTTGTTTCCATTGATCGTCAGCTCGCATAACTTCACCAATTGCACCGCTACAAAGCTACAGTCACGTGTCATGGCTTCGATTGCAGCTGTATTGTTGGGCTGTTGCGACAGTCTCAAGTCGATCTTAGCATCCCAGGAATTTGGATCAGAGTATGAATTGTTATGTACTGAGCTTTCAATCCAGTCTTTGCGAGTTCGTCTCTGGGGAGAATCGGTAAGCTTACCTCCTTGTGCCACTTTGTATACCTTGGCCCCGTATTGACACGTCACAGGTCGGACTGGATGTGGAAGAAAGCGCTCGTCCGCTGAATCGGGCATTCAAACGGCCAGATGTTGAGAAAACCATCACTCAGACAATTCACAGCATCGCCTATGTATTATCTGAGATTGAGAATCTTCGAAGGAAATATGATTTACAACCTTCGTCACCTGACCCGAGAGGAGATTCCGAAAACTCCAAGCACTCACGTTCCTGGAAATCTTTTAGTTCTTTATTTGTCACTTCACCAACCAAAACCGTTCTCCAGGAGCGCATGCTAGAAAACCAAAAGCAGAAATCATTCCTCGCCATTGCCAAATGGGCTAGTGTCGATGCAAGGAAATTCGAAGAAAAGATCAAGGCCCTGAAGAGCCTCATCGATGGGCTTGAAAGTATTTCAAAAGCTGCGGGAGTCATCACTCCTCCGCCGAAAGGACCTCTGGATCTCCCTGCTGTACCAGATGAAAATCCACCACCATACACCACTATTTTACGACCAAGACCTACAAGGAGCGCAACAGAGCCTTCCCGGACGATGACTTTGCGTCAGACTTCACCCTCGGTTGCACCGTTATCTGCTGTACTCAGAAAACATATGACTGCTATGAAGAGCTATCTGGCCGAGCATCCAGAAAATGCAAATACCCTTCGAAAGCCACGGGAAAAGCTCGCCATATTATCAGAATCTCAAGTCGAAGAGTTGATAAACGATGTACATGACGAATTAATCCGTCGAAAAGCACTTCTAGGCTCCCCAGATCACCTACCTGAAACCCCAAGCTTTCACCCAAAACGAAACCAAGCACGAAAGAAGTTCGGCTCCTTCCCCGAGCCGCGGTTCCAAGACCTCGTCGGCAACTTGGTGGCTGAGATGGAAAAGCGGTATCCCGTACTAGTGGAGAAATCACCAAGCACGTCTACTCAAACTCTAGCTCCAGTCCACGATTCACGATCACGATCACGCACTCGCTCCCAAACAGCACCATCATCACACCAACCCTCCATTGAAAACCCTACCACCACCACCACCACCAATCTCAAACGAGCACAATCACACTCCGCTCAAAAATCCTCATCATCATCATCATCATCATCATCGTCATCCGACCTCAAACGCCACGGCTCAACCCCCACGACCCCAGGCACCCAAAAAATGGAAACAATCTTCAAATCCTTTCGCGTAGGCATCGACGATCCGACCTCGGAAATACTCCCCGCGGCCCTGCAGAAATACAATATCGACGGACCCAGCGAAAACTACTCCCTATATATAAGTTACGCATCTGAGTCCGGGGGTGCGGATGTACAGAGACCGTTGGGATTAGACGAGAAGCCGTTGATGATTTTCAAGAAACTGAACGAGGCGGGTCAGAAGCCTTCGTTTATGCTGCGGAAGCGTGAGAGGAAGGATTTGTGATTTTTGATGTATGGGAATTTGGCGTCTGATTTTTGGAGTCCTCTCTATTGGTTTAATTGGGAGTGTGGGATGGCGTTTGGTGTTGCTACGATTTCTAAAACCTTGATACCTATTTTGCTTTATCTTAGCAGTTTTGGCGGGTGGATGGACGGCATGGGCGTTCTTTGGGAGGCGACGACTTATGATCTATCTCTCTGGGTTTTGACCAATGCCTTGAAGGTGTAGGAGAGATAGTAATGGATAATGACAATATTACCACATACTACAACCTTACCTCCCACATCCTGAAGTAACTCACACACATGACTACAAATCTCATAAAAGTAGAAAGTATAATCTTACGATTCTCCATCTAACATTTCTCTACTTACCTCTACTCCACTCTACCAATTCATAGACGTATCATCAATCTATCTATCATTTCAACAGCTCTCTCTAGCTTTCATTCGGATAATCTTATCTTCATACGTCGATGTGTTTCGAATCTCTACCCATGGTACTCTCTCAAGATACAAAGGGATTCAGAATTGCACAATTCATTTCCATTTCCATTTACCTACTTTACCTAAAAGTGCATCATCTTGGATTTTATTCGCTGACGCACGTACGCAGCGTTCCGCAGACACCCGTCGGGTCCGTCCTTTCGAGGCGATGGGGAAAGGGGCGCTACTGTAGCGTATTTTGTAATGTACGGTGGTGGGGATCGCGGATTTACCTATACGGGATGGCAGGTAGGTAGGGAGGGAGGTAAGCGAGCCTCCGAGGAGGAAGAGCGAGAGTAGGTAGGTAAGGTAGGAAGGAAGGTTCTTAGTTTTCTAAATAAGAGGAATACCGATACCGATACTGTACCGATACTGATACTAAGACATCTTCTTACGAGTATGCTAGCGGTATATAGTTTTAATCTGCTTCACGCTGTTACTGTGATTGTAGTAATCTTGACTTCTTACTATTTTTGTTTTCACTATAGTAACTTACTTGAAAGTCTAGGGTAGGTTTATATTTATAGGTTTAGGCCGAGAATTACGAAAAGGCTAGTCCGGGTTTAAGTTACATTTCAATGGCCATCCATTGCCTTTATATAGAACATATTATTATTTAATCCAATTATGACAAGTTGGAAGGAAGGATAGATATTCCTACATTCTTCTTAGTTGCTCGGTTAGAAACGGTTGAGATGCGGCCCGGTTTGAACTTCAATCCCAACGACCCTCGCACTCCCATAAAAGCAAACATACCATATCTACATATAAAACCCTTCACCAGACCATACGTTAAAACTATCTTGCTTCTTCTGAATCCGTAGGTAAGTTATATTAATAAGCCCGCTTAGTTTTGAATAGGGGTAAGACAAGGGGTAGTTAAGCGAGGAATGCCAGGTGTGTTTGTGCTTGCTTTCTTTGTTCGTGAATCCAACATCGTGCCATATCATGTCATATCCCGCCGGTTCTGCGCAGAATACGAAACACTATGGAATGGTGTTTGTTTGTTCCAGATTAAAGTAGGGTAGAGTGGAGTTTGGAGAATGGAATTGATTGATTGTGGAAATGGATATATAGATGGGTGGGGGGTTGTTAGTATTGGGGTCAATCGGCAGCATTGTATCAAGGGCGTATATTATATGAGTATAGCATTTGACCTCATGGAGGGCTTTGCGACGGTACTTGATAATGGTTTGATTAGGATGGAGCGTCTGATAGCAGATACTTCCGAAATTTCGGTGTATGGATTGGATTACTCAGTTGATACCTAAGTTATATAGCGCATAGTATATGAGGAAGTCTTCTAAGCCATGGGAATGTGTCAGATATTT